TAGTTGTGTTCTTGTAAAACATCGTGTTATAGAAATTCGTGTAATAGAAATGACAGGGCTTATGGAGAAAATAGGGTTAGGTGCAGATTACTCCAAATCGAAAAAAAATTTCGTAGTACAGTCTAAATAAATGTTACATTCATATCTAATATTGAAATCATACAGTAAATGTTACACTTTACCTTGAAAAAATATGAATATAACTTGATGGGGGAGAAGGTTGATGTTGAGGCTTAGGAGTCATGAAACATCAAGCTTTTCTTCAAGTGTTATAGCCTTTCTTTTACGATCACCACCGGAAATGGGATCACCAGAGTGCTTCCCAGAGATATTCTTCTTTTCCATAGTCACAAAATTGGAGAAACAGTAATCAGAATTCACTGAGGACACTTAAAAACTTCACACGTGTTTCAAACAAAGTGTGGAGTAAACAGAGTGCGCGGGTCTAAAACGCTATGTATTTTGTTTTTCTCTTATTTAAAATTTTACATTTTACATATACTGTAGAGGTATACTGTATACATAAATATTACATAAATTATTTCTGCAATTCTTCACAAACAAAACACATAAATCAATTGAACATGTGATGTCGAACGTGAACTGTAAACACTGCATAACCCCGCGCCAAGCCACAATGTACAGTACACTTTAAACGCTACTTATTTTGTTTTTCTCTCTTATTTAAAATTTTACAATTTACATATACTGTACAGGTATTTCTTCACAAACAAAACACATAAATCAATTGAACAAGTGATGTTGAACGTGAACTGTAAACATTGAGCCAAGCCACAACACTGTACAGTACACTTTAACACTTTAAACGCTACGTATTTAGTTTTTCTCTTTATAATTTTTATTTATATATATATATATATATATATATATATATATATATATATATATATATATATATATATATATATATATATATATATATATATATATATATATATATATATATATATATATATATATATATATATATATATATATATATATATATATATATATATATATATATATATATTTCATGTAAATCCACAATGAAAACGTGGATAAGATAAATCTTGATAAAATCACACGGGAAAATGGAAACAACGGAGTACCTTAGCTTTCGTCTTTATTCAAGACATCTTCAGAGGCAACTGGGTTACATGGACAGAGAGAGGCTTAAATATACAGGGTGACCTAAAAATATAAGGTCAGGTCATAATGATGACATCCACTAATCCGCACACCAACACACACGTAGAGGAGCTTAAGAGAAGGGTGGTGACGTGACTAGACAGGTCAGGTCAGAAAAAAGGGACCCACAAAATAACTATCATACATCAAGATCAAAGGTTTTCAAAGCATTTTTAACCTTGGGCCACTGACAAATAAATTTATGATGGTCAGTTCAAAACTGATAATATGTTATATATATATATATATATATATATATATATATATATATATATATATATATATATATATATATATATATATATATATATATATATATATATATATATTAAATTGTAATTTACATATTATTCATATTATGCTAGAGCGCCCACAAAACATGAGAAACGTTTGAGTCCCCCAGTAGAGATGTCCGTTCTCTATCCACTCCAGGATGTCCGTTTTCTTTTTGTGTACTCGCTCAGGGACTCAAGTATTTCTGTATATGACACAGGATGATAAGGGAATTTGAATTTATTTGTTTATTTATTTATATATAATATACTGTAATATATTAAATATACTGCAAGTATTTTCTTTAATTTATATACGTGTTTCGCGAAAAAGGGAGGCTACATTTATGGTGATCGTTAAGGACCAAACTCCGAATCCATGACGTGACTTCTGTTCATTATTTATATCCTAAATTTACCACTGTCGGCAGTTTCAAGAATTAATGCAGTCATTTACTGAATATTCTTTGCAAAAAAATAAATTTTAAATGAATTATTTATAAGAGATAAGTATTATGATCAGTAAATATACAGAGATGCATTACTGACCACCTCCGAACACAAGGACGGCTAAAAATAGCCACAGGCGGTCACAGTCAAGGTCACTTTCCCTTTCTTGTCACTGGCAAATGGGGGAGGGGGGGATGATAATAGCAGCTGTGTTTATTACGGTATGTTAGACTGGTTTATAATACATTTTTATTATTTTAATATACCGGTAATCTTCATTTTAATCCAGCTTACCAAACGTAAGTTTCAGTATAAAATAATTAGTGGTACTGTAGGACCTTGTGAGTGGTTTACTGTATACATAAATATTACATAAATTATTTCTGCAATTCTTCACAAACAAAACACATAAATCAATTGAATATGTGATGTCGAACGTGAACTGTAAACACTGTGTTTGATGTAGAGAGAGCGCGGGTGTAAAACGCTATGTAATTTGATTTTCTCTTTTATGTAAAATTTTACAATTTACTTATAATATATAGGTATACTGTATACATAAATATTACATACATTATTTCTGCAATTGTTCACAAACAAAACACATAACTCAATTGAACATGTGATGTCGAACGTGAACTGAAGCCACAACAACCGTTCGAGTGGAATCGCGTTAGAGCAAACGAGTTCGCGTTTTACAAATATCGTTCCTCAATTCATAAATCGCGTTCGAGCAAATTCGCGTTGTCAAAACACGCGTTATAGCAGAACTCACTGTACCTTCAAAACTGTGAAAATGCACAAGGAACATAAAGACAGCCAGACACACAAACATACACACAATAAATGTATTTTACATAAATAGATTAAAATCTGTATAGTATATAATTTTCAGATTAATCAAATTTGCATACTTTGCCATGGACACATTTGATTTACAGAAAAAAAGCAAATCAAACATATACTGTTGACCTAACCAAGTGTTCTTTAGAATCACCAACTGCTAACCCAAAAGGTCGATCCTAACACAATTTTATATCAACTTTTACCACATTATAAACTATTAATGCAACAGAAATTTAAAACAAGTGAAGGAAATTTTCACTGATGCTTTATTTTATCCAGAATTTAGTTTGTAAACTCTGCATGAAACTTGAGGATCCAAGGAATATTTCTATACTGTATGTTGTTCCAACCTCTCCGGTTGCTTTTTACACTTGTTTTGACCTGTTTGCCTCCCATTTTCCTCCTTGTTGATGTTGAAGTATTTCATCCCAAGGTGAAATAAAGATAATGGGATGGTGAGCAAAAAAATATTACATTAATCAAATAAATCCTATAATTATTACCTGCTCTAATTCATTCTGTAGATCACTTATTTTCTTTTCATAAAGCTCTTGTGGACGATGGTTGATTGGCAGTGAAGGGCGATGTAGCTGATGTTTTGCTTCATCTAGTGATGCTTCTAAACGCTCACCGGCATTCCGCTCCACTGCCAACTTGCTCTCTAATTCCCTACAAAATTTAAGATACAAGAATAACTAAGACATCAAAAAACCAGGAATAGAAGAACTCAAAGAAAAGAGGATACTGATGTGTTACAAAGAGTAGAGAAAACAATGAGGAAAGAAAAGTAAGACTGAAATGTTCTATATACAATAATCAAACCACTTCAATGATTGTACAAGGCCCTGGTCTAACCACATCTAAGAACAAGTCAATCAATGCAGTATGGTATCCACATAAGATGAAACACATCCATGTAAATAAGAATGCTCACATGTGGGTGACAAGAGCGATATATGGGCTGAAAAACAAACCCCCAAAAAACTTGAGTTACAAAGACCATTTGAGGAAAAAAAGGAACCCATCATTGGTGTATCTGAGAATAAGCAGAGATATGAGTGAGATTTTCTAAAGAATGCAAATTACTGTGGGCATATTAGTAGAGCTTCTACTTAAAATATTGTCTGATAACACCTCTTTGGGTAACAGTGATCAAGCTGTAACTTCTACCATGATTAAGGTGAAGATAGTGGCTATCCTAACGGGTGATCCCACAAACTTATCCTGATGGCTAATCAGTATGACAGAAGGGTTCAACACCAAAGTCATAACCAAGGTGGGGGGAAAAGCAGGTTGTACATCACATTTATACAGGGGAAATTCTACAAGGCTGTGATGCAAGGGGCACTATGAACTTAATTTAACACAATGGAATTAATAAAAGATGGAAAATGAAACCCCAATGAACCCCTCAAAGGTACATTACCCGAGGGAAAACAACTAAGAGCTAACTGAGAGTGAAAATAAACAGTGGTGGGATGAGGTGTAACTCAGACTCTGCAGCCAATGGTCTGAGATGCTATTACTCCAAGTGAACCATCCAAACATAGTAACCAGCTGGCAAGTACTCTAAATATATTCTCTATGTCCTACAAAGAAGAGCTAAAATCAATATTAGTCAAAAGGTCCAACATCTTACCTAAGCATGACGGCAGCATTTTGTGCATCTTGGTCACGTTCATGTTGGGCAATAATCAATCTACTACGTAAATCCTGGATCTTTTCTTCTACGTTTACTTCACTTGCAAATTTGGCATCCAGAGCTTCTTGCAAGTTCTTTTCCAGCTAAAAACAACATAAATATTAATTCCTTAAGGCTTTTAAAATTGGAGTTAATCAATAATTTCATTCACGAAGACAACAAAATGAAGCATTAGGTACGGGAGGCTGCCAAGTCAAAAACCGCTATGATGATACAAAATTAAGGAGTGATTCCTGAAATTCCACCTTATTACCATTACAACTCTTCTGGAATTTTTACTCTTTTCCCTGCCATCTGACAGCACCTTGTTAGATGTTCACTATTTTCTGCTTCCTATGTTTCAGTATCTCCCCTAATGTTTTCACTAAATGTAATAATGAATATATATGCAAGGTTGTTCTCATCTCCCCATAGGTATATTTCCTTTTTTACTGCCAGAGTCCTCCTTCCTTTCTCCATCCCCCAACATGAAATCTTTGCATCTATCCATCAGTACCTATCATTATATTTTCAATTTATGCTGATTTGTTAACATTCCTAACATTGTATCTTGAAATGAACCGTTTTTATTCCTTTCCCATCCTCTTAATTTTTTTATGGTTATATATATTGTACTGTAATTAAATTTTCATTTCTACAAATCAACCACTGAGATTTCTTCCCACTTCCTCCCACAGCTTCTGAGGGTCTTCAATGTATTTCTTTTCTTTGACAGCCTCATCCAACTCCTCCAGTTTTTAGAAGTTCTCTTATTTAATTTCTATCATACACTGAATTACCTCAATATTTACAGAGGGACTGACACACATATTCTACAGTTTAGGTAATATGATATAAACTTTTTTTCTCTTTATATTTTTCATCCAGCTAGACCTTACTCTGGTGTATCCAATCAATTATTCCTTCTCACATGCTGTTTCTATTTCCCATCATCCATAATTCCCTTCCCAATAGATGCATCTCCCTAATGCCTAAAATGCAAAAACTATCATCTATAAAATTGTTGTATGTCTTCCATTCCCTTAATCTTTATTTAAACAATTTGCATTTATATACATACAGTAGGTATATGCATTTATTCTAGTAATCTCATCTCTCTTTACTCTCTGTAGTCCTCTGCTGTTTCTTGCTTCCATCCATGAGGGGGAACTAGTTGTCCCATGAGGCAGTATCTCTCTCTGGCTGGCATCAACAATCTCTCTATCCTATGGTGCAAGGAGCTGGGCACAATTGGATGTGTCCTCATGCCAAACAAAAAAAATCTATGGCTACCCTACTTGCTACTCTAAAACTAAATGGAAACCAGTACCTAAAATCAATATTAAAATTAACGCTTTACTGCTATAAATAATAAATTTGTGAACATAATACGTTTAGTTACAATTGAATTACTGTACGGTAATACCCGATGACACGCCTACTCATACATATTCACAGCATGCTGACATAAAGCATTATAAATCAATGTGGAAGCTAACGATTTAATTTGCATACTAAATATAAGCAAATGTGTGTGTGTGTCACTATCACCCATCACTTTCTATACATAACTTGTCTCACATTCACCCTATTACTTTTCCGTCTCTTTGTTGTTTTTGTACTTCATGATCTACCCGACACAAAAGAGGGCAAGGAATAATGAAAATAATAAATAGAAAATCATTGTGAATATAAAATCGAACCTTTTCCTTTTCAGCCAGAAGTCTCTTTTTGTCATTTTGAAAAGACTGTTCAATTCGCTTCTTCTCTGATGTGAGTGTATTTAGACCAGCTGTTAATGCTGAAAGTTTCTTTCTTAAATCTTCAGTAACTTCAGATGAGCTTCCCTGCTCTGCACTGTCCTGTAAGAAAAGAAAAAACAATATTTTTTGATCAGCATGTTTAACCCTTTTACTGCTATCATTATCTTCAGATGGTTTAGCACAAAACCATTATTGTCCTCTTAGGACGATTGGCATTTGGCACCATGAATTTAAAGATGTGTACCATAAATTATACTAAGAATGGAAGGTTGATGATTGGTAGCAGACATTGGGCCAAAGCCAGATTTGGCTTCTAGAATCCAGGTTTTTTGGCATGGCTTTGGATTTTCTTCTTTACACAGACACACTGGTCATGTTGTGATGTCACAGCTGAGTTGATCTATGACTTTTCTAATCTCACAATGACCTGACCTAAACCTTGGACAAGTAGGACCTCTGCCTCCCTACCTCCTTACCCCTAGGTGATGACCGACAGCACTTAAAAATCTTAAGATGATTTGTTGCCATGCTTATCTGTGATTGCGATTTCATATAACTATTATGTATAAATGTTATGTATATTTAGTAGATTTTTTTACATTAGAGATTTGTTTTGAGTAACAAAAAAAAATGAATGATGATGAATAATGATAATTTTTACTATGATCAATTTCTTTCAGTCCATATGTCTACTATATAGGGAGAGTTAAAACTTACCCCAAGAACAATCCCCTTAAAGTAGTCAGTTTAACTCAAAGTCTTGCTCATTGGAGTAGATTTATTGTGGATGAAGAGGGGTATGACTTCCGAGACTTGTAAAAATGTGCCTCTGAACATCTTTTGTATCGTTTTAGAAACCATAATGCTTTTTTGCAGATTTGCTTTGTGTGGACTGCTTATTATGTATGACCCCAACGTCTCTAGCTGTCACCTGTATAATAATCAGGTTTCTCAGAAAATTCTATATATTGGACCTTCTCCCCCAAGTCATCATTGTTATCAAGGATTTCCTGTATTACAAGAGTCACCTGGCTCTTAAGATATATACAGGCATTTCAACCAAAGAGAATAAGCACACTTACGTTGGTAATGATGATGCTTGCCAAATTTCAAATCAATCTACTAATAATTAATTGTAAAACTCAGCACTGATAAGGTTTGGGTTCATAGTGATCCAAAACACAGAAATACTGGTATCTATATCTATTGGGCAAAGCTGACCAAGGTAAGAAATTAACTAAATAAAATCTCTCTCTCTCTCTCTCTGAAAGGACAAAGTAGAGTTTAAGAAGAGTACTGAATACTTTTATACTCTCAGAACTCTCCAGAGTACAAACCTGTAAGTTCTCTTTGGGGTGATCCTGAGCAGTACCGGCATCCTCGCCTTCCTGTGGTTGTGGCTCTGTCTCCTTTCCTGAACTTTTTGGCTTCTCTGCATTACCTGCATCATTAGACTTTGCAGTGTGGGTTCCTGCTAAGGCTGACAAGCTTGTTTCAAGGGCTTCCTTTTCTTTCAACAACCCTTTGTAAGCTCTCACAACATCTGTTCAAAAAAAATTAATTATTTTATATTTTATTATTAATTTTTTTTTATACGGGTGATTAGCCCACCGGGGCACAGGTCACTGACCCACATCGGGGCCTGGGGGGCGAAAATGTAATAATAATAATAATAATAATAATAATAATAATAATAATAATAATAATAATAAAAAGAACCATAAAGAAAAAAAAAAAAAAAGATCAAGAGTGAGAAACAATATATGTATGTTGTGTTGTCAATGGTAAGAGAAACAATTGAGGCCCTGCAATTGTGTGTAAATGAGGCGGAAAGTCAGATCAGCAACCTGGGACTTGGTCACAATTTTCGTGATGCCATATGGCAGCAGGGTCTACCATTAGACAACACATTATGCTTCCAATTACAGGTATTCCTCGACTTAAGACCTACTCGACTTACGACCACCCGGACATACGACCGCCGCAGTCGTATAAAATATTTTTCAAATTACGTATTTTCAATTCCCGACGTTAGTGTTTGCGCTGTGTACTGACAAAATTTTCGTTTGTAATTCTCATTAAAATGGCTGGCAAGCATAAAAGTGAGAGCTCTCGTGGTGCTGAGAAGAAAAAGAGACACCCATTTTAGATTTTTATGTATTATTTTCGCATTTTCGACTTACGACCAATTCGACGTACGGCCTGGTCGTTGGTCCCTAATCCCGTCGTAGGCCGGGGACTCAATGTACTGTATATATTCATGTACAGTAAGTCCTCGCTTAACATCGGGGTTACAATCCTGAAAATGCAACGTTATACGAAACAACGTTAAGTGGATCAATTTTCCCCATAAGAAATAGATAAAATACGGGAGTTACATTCCGGAGCCTCCCTTTGCCCCATGAAATACATTACGTATACAGAAAATCATTGCCATTTCTATAGAAAATAGTGGATGCATATACAGTACAGTACAACTATACTAAGTTTGTATTGGTACTCACTGATGGGTGGAGGTGGTAGAGCGAGTGTGTGGTGGGTAGTGGAGCGAAGGGGGAGGATGGTGGGAGGGGAGAAGGAGGGTGGCAAGTCACTGAGACCCGGCGGGTGGCTCCTCCCGCCTCTCAAAACAGTTTAAAACCTCAATTTTCTAGCAAGGCTAATGGTCTTACGTTCCTTCTTCACATCAATAACACTTGATGGGCGCTTGGAAGCCATTTCGAATGATTACAGTACAGTATTAAGAGTAAAAACGCTTAAACACGCACGAATGTTGTGGAAGCCTAACAAAGACTGGCTTCGCTTGGGGATGGCTGTGACGTTCTGCGCCAATAGAGCATAGCGCGGAAAGACCAGAGAGGGTGAGGCGCCATAAAAAGTAGTCCGTGATGGCGCAAAAACGACGTTATATTGAGTCGTCGCGACGTCAAATGAATTATTGGTATCTAAAGAGTAGCGGCGTTGTACCGAGACAACGTTAAGCGGGACGACGTTATACGAGGACTTACTGTATAAACCAATTTCATGTATATTCGACCGTAGTTTTTGAGAAATATTAGGTATAATTCTAGACATATTTTGTAGCAAGACACCAGATTCTTACCAATGCATCTTGACCATTAATCACCACCACAACAGCTGACACTATGAACAATGTTATCAATTTTGAAACTGAATTACCCACCTTTCAATTTCCCTTCATACTTGACAATCTGCTCCTTCTGCTTCTCAACTGTGGCAAGCAATTCTCTCTTGCTGCCCATGGCTCCAGCACCGGCTTGGAGGCTCACACATCAAAGTCCTGAAATATAAAAAATAACACTTTAGAGGGCAATGTAGCCATTGGGTATATTATTCTGGCTAACACCAGATTGATTTTATTCAGCTGAGAGAAACCCCTGCAGTATTTTCAGCACTCGAATTTTTAAAGTTTAGAGGCATTTTTTCTGTTACACTCATCACCCTCAGAAGACAGAGATTAGAAGCAAAGGTGTAATGTTAAGCTACCTAGTTAGTACAGTGCCTTCCACAACCATAACAGGTCATCATCTCAGTTATTGATACCCTTCTATCTTCTGAGCTGTTTGGGCTAATCTGGAATACAAAATATCAAGCTCT